TTTTTTTTTTTTTTTTATGCATACAAAAACACTCAGGATTCTATAATCATTTGAACAACCGGAGGGCATGTTTTATAAGCCAGCCTCCTGCCCACCAGCACACAGCCTTTGTCTTTCCATGAGTCTGGAGTCCTCAGCTGCTCTATCTCTCTAGACCATCCCCTCTCTGTCCATCTCTGGTGGCGCTGCTTCTCTGGTTAGGAACCCATGTTCTGCTCATGCTCTTCCTTCATGATGATTCTAGGGTCCTTGTTCCTGGAATGTAAGATTAGCAACTCCTACCTTTTTGTGATATATCTTCTACCTTTATAGTTGAGAGGACCGCAATTAGTCATGATAATAATTACTCACTATTGAATCAAAAGAATCCTATCCCATTTCCTTTCACCAGACCCATCTAGACAAGATGAAAACTATTCAGTGGGGAGTCTACCTTTTCCCACTCATTCTGAAACTAAAGTAACTCTTGAAAATTTGTAAACTAGCCACTTTGTGCCTTTATAGACTCCCCATTTTAGGTAGCCAGTGTCTAAATTGCCTGCCCCTATCCACCCTGTGTAGTGAGGGGATAGGCTTGATCCTTGATTTGAAGACTCCTTCCCTGTGGGTCGCAATTTTGAGCAATTACATCCATAAGCAAAGGTCAAGTTAATGAAATTGTAGCAATTTATTCTTGCTTCCTATATCAGACTTCTTTCTCTTCCTCTAATTGAGTTCTGATCATCAAGCCATCCAAGCTAGGTCAAGTGGGTAGTATCTGCAAGTTTGGACGTTCTTACACAACTCCCCCCACTTCATATCAGCAGGATGCTTCACTCTTAACTCTTGGCCCCAGTGGCTAGGTCAGTGTCCATAGGCTCACGAGTTTCCAAGTCTCCCCAGACTTTGGACAAACCAGACCTTCCTTTTGTCTCTCTCATCTCAAGGTCTACAGGAGTCCATGGAACATGGTCAGACTCAGCCATGTCTTCATTACTGCCTTTCCCCCACTTCTACTCACAAGTAGATCAACGAGGTCACCAGCGAGCTTATAAACTTGCTCGTGTGTTCCCTTTGTATTTTAGTCTCGAAAGGGAGTTTGTCTTGGAGGGCCTTGATGGCTCCCATGGAATAACAGCTGGCTTGTTCTTGTAGTAGCAAGTAGTCTGTACTTTTTGTTTTTCCCTGCTGCTCTTTCTTTTAAGAAACATCTTCTGTTCCTTTAGCTATGACGGGTTATCTGCATGTCCTTAACAGATGGGAATGTCCCACCTCAGAAGGTTTTGGATGGGGCTCAGGATTCCACCGAAGGCCCCGTACTCTAAAAGGCTCAACAAGAAGCCTATTGCATGGGGCAAATTCTAGAACCCTTTTAGGTATTCCAATCAGTTACAGGCTTTTTGTAAACCTACATCTTTTTTTTTTTTTTAAATTTAAAGTCTTTATTGTGGATTGAGTGAAAGTTTATAGGGCATATCATCAGCTCCACATTCAACAATTCACACAACTTGTTTCATTACATTGATTATAATCCCCTCCATATACCATCAGTTAAAAGTATTTCTCT